TAATAAATGTGGCCAGATTCCTAGAAAGAAGAGCTGCACCATCCAAAGTGGGATGCTGCACTATAGAAATCAGTTTATTTCTATAGTGACAATTCACAACTCATCATCCCAAGGCACTTTTTAGAGAAAAATTCAACCAGATCATCCAGTCAGTGTGAGCGGCCATCTGCTGAGGCCCACTGGGGTTCAAGGAGACAGAAACAGACATAAGCCCCATTTCCACTACCTCTGAAAACCGATCCGTGCAAAATTCAGACCGAACTTTGATCAGTTAACCGTGCCGAGCTCAGTTCCTTACGACCATTGACACACCACGCTAGCACAGTTCCTTGCCCACTAGTGGCGATCTACGGTACTACTGCTCTCTACAGGTTAACAAGCAAACCAACATGGCGGCGCCCGTAACATTCAGGCAGTTTGCAGAGAGTCAGGAGAAGAAGGCGGCCTTTGGTGAATTTACTGGACAGAGTCGGCTTTTGGGAAGTGGATACGATAAACGATCGTCTAATCAGGGCTTATAGATGCAGGAAACAACGACAGACGTTGAGGTTCATCACTCTGCTGAGCAGAATCATCACTGGAAATCGTGCGGCACGTTAGGGAAGCTAGGATTTTATGAACGTCTGAAATTTCCTGATTAGGGAGGCTGACTGTAAGGAGATGAGGCGGTCTGCTCATGCAGTCTTTGTTATCTGAGAACCGAGCCAGAACTGAACTAGGCAGAGCCCTACTGATGGACCGTGTTAGCGCGGTTCTGTTGGGTCTGGCGCGGTCTGGTTCAGTTCTGCATACCATTTACACTCAACAGTTACCTTAGTTATCATGCTCAAATCATTCTCAGCACAGTTTTAAAAGGATAATGTAAATAGGGCTATAGAAAAAGAAGCATAGATACAAAAGACAACTGTCAACCAGCTCCACAGGCGGCCNTAATAGCAGAATTATGAGTTTTAGTTCTCTGTGTTTCAGGATATAAACCTCATCACTATGCTGACATGTTTTAGTTTTCAATGCTTCTACGACGTCTTTCTGAATTTAACTGTGATGTTAGAACCTGGTTCTGCTGAGAACATTTTTCCTGGACTGTTTGAAAAAGCCAACCTTCTTCTGCAGGTGTTCCAGTGAGCTCCATCCATCTGGAAAAGAGAATCATTGGAGGTGAAAAATGTGAGGAAGAGGAGCGTCACTATCATGTTAAATTTATAGCTGTAAATTATGCAAGGAAAGAAGGTTATCTCTGTGGAGGCTCCCTGATCAGCGATCAATGGATCCTGACTGCAGCTCACTGCTGGAAGTCAGGCAAGGGATGGTGAGACAGAGACACTGTTGATGAAAAATCACCAATGACTGAGTTCTTATATCTAATAAATGTGCTTTATTGTCACAGGACTCATATAGCATATTTAGGAGTTCATCCTAAAAGTCCTAAACCAGACAAACATGTTGTCACTGAATATGATATCTATACAGAAGGCAATGATAAACATGACATCATGCTGGTGAAGCTGCCAAACCCAACAACAATCACACCTATACCGCTGACTGATTGTGAAACTCCCCTCAGTGTGTAAGTCATGTTTTTAATTAAACTAAAATGTTGTTTCTGAGCTTCAAGATGAGGCATAATTCATCCAGGAGGAGATTTCCAAATTCTCAAAGGCTTAGTTTTATTATTTCTAGTATTTTTATTATCTTTCAGAGGAACCAAAGTCCAGATCGCAGGTTTTGGACCAGAAAAAGCGGGCCCTAAAAACAAACGAAGTAAGATTAATGTTCATGTTTCTCACTGTTTTTCTCATGACCTCAAAATGATTAAGATATTTTAAATCAGCCAACAGAGTTTCTTTAACTTTTGATCAACAAAAACAAGCAGAAATAAAATGAGTATCGGTGGCAGAAAGTGAAGAAATATTCTGAATAGAACATGAATATTAAGACAGGCTGATTATCTGGTTATGCTTCTTTTTAGTTGATGAGGACTGGACTTATCCATCTGAACTTCAGTGTGCTGATATTGCGATTGTGAAAAATGAGGAGATGCCAGAAATAGCAAGAAAAAAGAGACTGAATCAGCACTGGAAATGTGCTGCAAACTCTACAAAGGACGCATCTCGGGTTGGTCTTTTATCCATTTTCTTAATAAAAACTAAACCTTGTTGCTGCGTTTCACTAGAATCTGTGACTAAACGACTGAAACCCTTTGTTTGTGACAGGGCGACTCTGGAGGAGGAGTAGTTTACCAGAAAAAGCTCTATGGCGTTATTTCCTTCACTGGAGATCCAGACTTTGCCTGCAGTGAACCATTTGGATTCATGGATGTCTGCGAGTACAAGGAATGGATAGAGGAGACTATTAAACCTGGAGCTAGAGAGCCTGGTTTCTGGGAGAAGTTTCGGAAGAAATTACGCCACATATTTTCGTGTTTCGACTGTCTGTAAACCACAACATTTAAGTTTATCTAAATGTTCAGTTTATTTTGGCTTCATTGCAGTTTTCTTCCTTTCCTGCTTAACAATTGATTCTCTGAGTATAAATGTTGTTCTGTTCAAGTTAAACTGTGAGAACATTTCATTTATGAAGAAGTAAAGCTTCTGTTTTGCATCCTTGTACTCAGCAGCAACAATAACCACTGTTACATAAAAAGACAATAAAAGCAGCTTTGATCAGATCGTCACATTCATGTCTTTTCTGGTTATTAATTATTTCTCTGTTTTGTACAAAATAGTTAGAAGCATTTTTAGTTTCAGGTTTAGTAAATGCTATTTTCCTTTAAACGTTTTAATTTCTTCTTCACTTTTAACCTGCTGCTGTTAAACTCAGTAATAAAAGCATCAGACTATCAGTTCAATTAGAAATAATGACGAGTTTTGGACGGTCAGGTCTGTTACTTTAAACTGAACATTTTATGATAATAACTTTAAAGCTCAGAGGTTCTTTAATATGAAAAATAAAAAGTTTTTGTCTGTTTAGTGAATAAACCAGAGTAGAAACACCAGTAGAAAGATCCTGAAATAAAGGATTATTGTGAGGTTGGTGGTTTAAATGACCTAAAACAAACAGACATTTATCTAAATAATCAAACAATAAAGACACTTAGAAGAAGCTCAGAGAAGGAAAAGGTCATGAAGTCCATGCAGAGAGTCAGAGATGGAGCAGGCAGACAAACAGCTGAAATAGGAACAGAAAGAGGCGAGCAACCTCTGCTGACAGGAAGGAGGGTGGCTGATGGAGGAAGACTAATAAACCCAAACATCCAACAGAAAACATCTCTAACTGAACCAAGAACAGTAAAAAGAAGCAAACAGTAAAAACAATTGAAAAGTCAGTTTTCCCATTTTTACTTATTGATAAATGATTAACTCCCCTGTGAAGCAGTTACACCTGCTGCAGCTTGCTGTACATCATTCTCTGCAAGGCTTTCTTGCTACATGTCCTGCAGGCTCTCATTTCGGCCTTCTTTGATGATGGGTCCGCATCCTGCTGGGTTGAGTCATCTGCACTGCCACCAGCCTCTTGCTGT